AGCGGTTTTGCGGCTTTTGTCAGCAGCCCCAATCGTCCTTTTTTCTTGGACTGGACATTGCCCAAACACGCTGGATATAAGGCCAAACACGACGGACCAGCCGCCAGCGAAGGTTTCCGCATATTGTTCTAGGATATTTTTCAAGGTCTCCAGGCTTTGTTTGTGGATCTCAGTAACAGGCGCAGACGGTGATCCAAGTGAGCAAGCGTTTTTGTCATATAGAATTTGAATCTGGTCCCTCAGTGTTTCGAGGTTCCTCATTTGCCGAGAGTTACGCGCTTGGTCATCGTCGCTGCCCATCTGCTTCATAGTTTGGAATACAAGAGTATTTAGTACATCGTTGGCTCGTAGCCGGAGGTTTTGGCTAATCGATGCATCCGCCGCGGTCGATATAAGGCTTTGTGTAAGGATTTGCCAAGCTTCGTGATCGCTCTCAGCCAGTGATGACAATCGTTCTAAATTTGCCCTTGAAAGCTCACCCGCTTTGTCCAAGACAAACTTTAGTTCTTCATCTTGGGTCTTGGATTTACCCACGACTAGTGAAACACGGCGGGTGCTTCTGCGCATAAAACCGGGTCGGAACTGTGACGACTGAGTATTACCAGTTGTTTCCTCAGATGCCTCACCTGGTTGGGGCACCTCCGTTGCTTCAGAAAGATCCAAGAGTGCAGTTAAGAGCTCCCTAAACGAATCACTCGGGTAGTCGCTCGTGCTCTCAAGCATCTTAGCAGAGGCTGTTTGAACAGCAATTATCTCACCCCCGAGGCTAACCTTCGAACCATCAAGCGCGCTTGGAGCTTCAGCTCCAGTTGAATATGCATTTGTCAACAGGCCTGTATCCTGCAGCGTACCGAGGATTATAGACCAGGCCGGATGGTCCAAAGTAGGCCCCAGAGCGATCCCCAGGTTCAGCAGCGCACGCAAACATAACAGATTCCTCGTGCTGATAGATACTGATGGTGCATCTGGCGGTGCCTCGGATACTGGAGAGGCAAGGGATATCTCTCTGCTTTTCCTTTTCTCCTCTGCGGTGTGATTATGGCGGGGAGCAGACGCGACTACCGATGGGACCATGCCGCTTGCATCAACTGGCATAGCTGCCTTTCCAAGCGTTGTTAGGAAAGCATCCCTAGGGGTAGATAATCTAAGAAGGCCAGCAACATGGGCCAGTTTCTGAAACGATCGAACCAGGTTGTGATAGAAATCGTCATCTAACGAAGCATACAAGAAGGTGGAGCACGCCGCAAGGACAGCAGGCCAACAATTCTCAATTATTCCAGCACAGATTTTGATTGCCGGAAATTGAGGATGAGATTCCAAGTCCAAAGGATTAAGTGGCACAGGTGATTTCTTAGTATTCAGCCTGTGGGCAATTTTTGACGAGTTCGTCCTTTGAAGATCGTGAGAGGGTCTAGGAGAATCCGCACTTTGGTCTGGGTTTCCAATCCGACTTCTCCGTTTTTGTTTCAGATCGGGCACCGTCAGGGGAAGGATGAACTTGGCAAGACCTTCAGCGAACGAAGAAATGCAATTGAGCACAAGGCTATAAATATAAGTGTCTGGGGGAGGTGGAGGGTCGGTCTTGTCAAGCAGCTCCATGTAAGGAGTGCGAACCATACTCCACTGACTACTGATACCCGGAACATTTGTGTCAGTAGACGAGACTGACGTTCCAATCACACCAGCGACACCACCCGCTTCAAGAGTGATCTGTTCTTCAGTAATGGATCTCGAGTGTGCGGCTTTCGAAGGCACAGTTGACCGACTGCTGACGCCAATCAACGACGGCTTCTCAGATGCCAAACGAACGAGAGCAGCCATGTGGTCTTTGAGGATATTCTTCCTCCGCCCGTCACCATCGTACAGCGAGTAGACAATTCGAACTAAACCAGGCTCGGCATACAGTCCTCGAAAAACCTCCATGCAAAGGACGCGCTTCCAAGGCAAATTTCCATCAGGCTCGAGAAGGTGTGTCAATAAGCCAAGAGCCATTTCACATTCCGCGGGAAGAAGAGACATATGGCGCTTAAGGAGGACGAGAAGAATCCGAGCAACTCGAATAGTCTGGGCGAAAGAGTGCCTTTCGGATAAGTATCTCACAGTCATTGGCATAAGCCGGGTTCGCAGCACATGCGCAAGCTCGGCATGGCCAACAAAGAGACGGCCACTGTTGACCAGAACACTTTCAATAAGTTCTAGTGCGAATATTGGAGATAGTGACTTGATTCGTAGAAATTGCAGCTGCTCGCCATCCGCAAGTCGACAAAGATCGTCTAGGACCTTCAATACAAATTAGTAGGGCGAAATGCATCATCGGGCACGGTGCTTACTCGTAAGGCGTCGTACGCAAAGTACCCAATATCTACAGGGTTTCCATCAATTTTGACGGTTACCTTCGGCCTGGACTCCTGGGGAGTTTCTGGAAACCAGGTCAGTGGTTAAGTATGAAAGGGCTACATCTAAAATATGGGAACTGACTGTCTTCGATGAGGACTCGCTCAAATGTTGACACTATCAGCTGTTGCAAGGTAGCCGCTGCTGTACTGGAAAGTGCAAGGGTCTTGCTTGCTTGTAGAGTGGCGCAGATCTCTAATGTGGTTACAAGAAGCTCCCCGCCTAAGTCTTTGGAGTAATGCTGTAGCAAAGAGGGTAGAGATTGTAAGATTTTGAGTTGTATATCCAGACCTGGGTATGATTAGTATTGCGTTGGCGCAAGGGGACTAACACCTACTTAGATTTGTAGTCTCCTTTAACCCACCGAGGACATCTTTCAGTCTCTCAGATGGTAGCGCTCGGGATGCCACCAGCCTTTGCAGGCAAACAACCCCAATACCCGCGAGCTTTGCATGGCGCGTATGGCAAGCTAAGATAAACGGATCGACAAATTTAGGTTTGCGTACCAGATCTCTTAGGCTCTCAGTAAATCCGCCGATACTTGACAGAGATGGAATGTAATTCCGACTCACCGGCAGCAATTTGAGACTCCGAAGTTGAGGGCAAAGCCTTCAGCTCGTTGAGAGACTCTTCGGCCGCCTATCTTTCAGTCAGCTAGAGCCTAGAATATCCCTTTTGATCGGCAGTTAGCTCACACGTCGGAGGTCAGAATTCTTTCTCTTGGACTCTTGAATAAGGTTCAAGAGTTCCGTCTGTAGAAGCTGGGAGGACATTTCCAACTAGTTGTTGGATCAGATCATGGCAACCGTCGTTCGAAGTTGCCTGGAGCTCGGAGTTAAGTAGGAAACAGATATGGTTTCATGAAGATGTTGACTGATATTTGGTTTAAAACCACGAGAACTACAGAAATGGCTCGGTACCTCGTGAGCGATAACGCCGTACGCGTTCCCAGAAATGCAAGCGGACCACCGGTGCTTTAATTGACACCAGATTGCAATGCGTATGCCTTTCAACAACGATCCACCATAGCATCAGGCGTGGCATCTCCGGGAAAGCCAAGACGCTAGCGGAGATAGGCTCCACACGTGACGCACCCAATCCGTTATCATCACGTGAGGGGACTCTTCAGGCCGATACGATACGCAGGGCGGGCAGCCGGGCGGTATTGTTGCTTGAAGGTGGGATTTGAACCCCTCCTCCGCTTTGGTCAAAGAATTCCATTTCCCACCCCATCCCTTATATTCTGCCAAAAGCTATCGGTGCAATCTCCTTTTATAACTCACACCTTTCATTTATAAAACAATGTCTGCCAAAATTCCAAGGAACTTCAAGCTCCTTGAGGAGCTCGAGAAGGGCGAGAAAGGCCAAGGAGCAGGTAAGCGTGACATCCCACCTACGGTTACATGCGCCATCCCGCTGATGTACATTGCGTTCACAAATCAGAGGCTTGCTCCTATGGTCTTGCAGACGGAGAAGATATGATGATGAGCAACTGGAACGGAACTATTCTCGGCCCTCCTCATGTTCGTCTTCCGCTGGTACAATCAATGTCGTACAATATGGCAGCGTCACTAATGCAGCAACATCCAGAGTGTCCATGAGAACAGGATATACAGTGTCAACATCCATTGCGGTCCTGATTACCCAGACAATCCTCCTGTGATCCAATTCATCTCACGGGTCAATCTCCCTTGTGTAGATCCACGAACCGGCAAGGTGCGGCTTTCATTATATCCTTGATCATGCTGATGGCTGTTAACATAGATTCGTACTTAGGTTGACCCTACAAAGCTGCCGTGCTTGGCTCAATGGAAGCGCGAGTATAGTATGGAGACTGTCTTGCTTGAAATGAGAAGGTATGCAAACCCCATCTTTCCCGCTAGATGAAACCACGCTTAGCATTTTAGGTATATGGCTCTTCCGCAACACAAGAAGCTTCCTCAGCCTCCGGAAGGCTCGAACTTCTGAGTCGATGATCTTGCAGGATACATGATCGGAGTATTGTGGTTAGTTTTGCGTCAGGTCTCGTCATCTCGTCCTTTCTCTTCTTTCATCATTAGAGCGTGTACAGTCTATGCATAACGGCAGGCATGGCGTGATCTCATTCTGAGTCTTCAGTTCATTATTATTTAGAAATATCTCGAAATATCTATATGCCTCTAGGTGGTGGACTTACTACCTCGATAGGCCTAGATGGGTTAAATCCTCAACTTTTGATTTAGGGAGAAGCAAAATGCAACGAATGCCCCCGAACCACCAACTCGGTAGCAAATTGAACTATGAAGGAATGATTTGAATGTTAGATTTAGCTGAATGTCACTTGTGCGTGATTCAACAGTTTAGATTTGGGAGAATCTCAAGACAAAATACAAGTGATTCGTGCAAAGCTTGATGTCCAAATGAGAACGGAATTCCTCAGCTTATGTATAATTGGCAGAACGATTGACCACCGCCAAATCATAAGAGTTACACTTTCGGTCTCTCTTCGCATACTGGCCCATGGTCGTGTGCGTGATTCCCCTATAGCACGTGACATCACTTGATAGGCTCAAGCGTCACATGTCCCCCTAGTAATCCTCTGAGAACGGATATTTCTATCTCGAACAATGCATAAAACCGTAGTTCCCAGAAAGTCTGGGGTGCATAGATTCGCCTGTAAGCTCACAGACCATGCCACTAAAAGTGCACTATGTCAGAATTAACAAAGAATCTCGTTCAACAGGTTTAGCACTTTATCGGGCACTTCTCCGACAATGCGCAAAATTACCGAACACCGCGGAGGAGCTTAGCACCTGCAAGCCACTCATACAACAAAAGTTTCAGAGATACAAGAAGCTCCAGAGCCCGTCACAAGCAGTCAATGCTTTGAAAGCTGGGTATGAGGTATATACATGTTGCGCGATCTTTTCAGCAAGGAGCCAGCTCCGTGGCTAATTCTTCCCTATCTTAAGGCTCTCGACCTACTCCATTCGGCCTCCCAAGGAAATCAACGCAATACAAATCGTATTGTGGAGCTCATATCAGACATCCGGTCGATAAAGCAGAAAGAATCGGCGCTGCAGAGAGAGCTCTCTAAGAAGGAGCCGAAACCGTTATCTCAGAAGCAACAGAAGACAAAGGAGTCCCGGCGTTTACAAGACCAAACCGCCCGACGACATCCGGATGCCACTTCTATCCTTTCTCGTCCGCGACCCGTCGTGAGCGGCACGCGTCGGGTGCCCGTTCTTGTGAACGCGCGGGGAGTGCCCTTCCTGCGCATCAAAAAGCCCCAACCCAAGAATTTAAGCGGTGTGATACGGTCAAAGCTTGAAAAGCGATGGAGCCGGATTGAACGCCGGGATAGGCTGGACCGTGAATTACTGTTTGCCAATGATGAGGATAATTGGGACGCTTTGACGACTGGGTCTGAGTCCGACACATGGGCTAAAGGGGTCAAAGACGCATTAGGGACGCTTAACCAGCAAATCCATGACACCGACAAGAAGAACATAGAACTTGCAGAGGCCATGTGGAAAGTTGTTCTTGCCGAGCGCAAGTTGGCAGCCGAGGAAGAAAAACAGAGATCGACTGAAAAGCCAAGTGACACTTGATTTCCTTTCTATGTCCCAATACGGTAAGATATTATACGAGATGTCACTCAGGCTGTTCTACTCCGCAATCAATCGCGGAACAGGGGACGACAGAAGAAAGCGAGTCCAGACCGTCTTCTGGTTACTTCATGGTAAACAGCAGCAGTCGCATCATCCACGTTGTACAAGTCATACACGAGCTGGGATACATGCGGACGTCCTCCACCATTTCTTTTTAATTTTCTTCGGGGGGTGGAATATCCCCCGAAGCGAGCCACATGCCTACTAAGCGCGGTTCATCGCAAACTAAGATGGGACACGTCCACCACTGGTCCGTCCGGTTTGCATCCCTCTGCATATGAGGCTGTGACTCTTAGGATCAAGTGACATGCGTTTAACTAACTCATAATACCTAGAAAAATTATGAATAAACCATACTTGCATCCAAATTGCGAAACAAGGTCCTTCTCAAAATCATTTCCTATTTGTGGGGTAAATTTACGGAATCGTGGACGGTGTTAAAGAAGTTAAAGGGACAGGATCGTTGTCTGTTCGTGGATGTACGCCAGCTGCTGTAGTCAGGGTAGTGGTATTTACAAAACTTCATCTATTGCATGACGCTAGATTATAAGATTGAAGGACTCATAGCAGGGGAAGTCATCAAGATAGCGATACGCTATGCAGCAATCTTCAGCTTCTCAACAGCAGGCAAAGCATCTTCGCCTTCCTCATCAAGGTCTGCCTTGCCAGCCAAGCCTCGCTCCCATAGTTGTCTCCCGGTCATCTTCTTTTCCTCTTTAGCCGGAATCTTCTTATTGGCTTTCTTATCCTCTGCTTCTTTCTCTTCTCGTTGCCTCTTCTCCTCTTCCTCCATCTCCGCCTTAAATTTCTCTAGCCACTCTAGGAATGTCTCTCTGGTCACGGCTGTACCCTGGAACTTTCGATTCTCCTCTTCTTCAGCCTTAGCGGCTTCCATCTCTTTCTGCGCATGGACAGCATTCACCCGCTCAGCCATTAATTGCTCAGCATTCTCCTTGAGAGCACTGACGAGAGTGAAAACCATGGCCATCCCCATGTTCTCCTCAATAGTAGGCTGTAAAGATTCGAGAAGCCGGTCCCGATCTTCCTGGACATCTAGCCGAGGGTGTTTGGGAGCGTTTGGAGGAGCGGATAGTTCGAGCTCCGGAGCAACATCGGGATAATCTGCAGGATACGAGACCTGCAGGAGTAAAACCGGCTGTTCAGCTTCTTCGACGTCATCTTCCGGCGCGTCGAGGACGATTGATATCCTGTAGGAGGTATCCGATAAATCTAAAACATGTTAACAATAGATGTCCCTTCGGTGCGCATAAATGAGGTTTTAATCTCACCTGTAATTTCCTCTGGGAAAATGGAATCGAGCACTTCTCGCTCTTCAATCTGATCTTCGCGGCCCATACTGCTTCAATTCTGCCGCCGACTGGGTTGGAGGGGTACTAGTGGTGGATGTTCCAAGGCGAGAACGACCAAATTGCCGCGCCCACAAAAGGATGGCTATTTTCAATATAGAGCACTGTAGATCTCAGATGCGACAAGACAATAGAGTAATCCCTTGCTGCGTGAATTAAAGCTGGCTGGCGTAGGATTCGGTCATGGAATACCCCATGTATAATATTGCAGTCCCACATGCAAACCAGACAAACAGATAAGAAAATGCCCAAAATTATTTGATCCGAAAAGGGAATTTCAATGCTCCGCTTTCTTGACCCTCCAAAGCTTCCAAGTATATATTACCTTCTTAAAGAAATTTACTGTCATAGATATTCTTCTTCCTTCTTGATCCCTTTACTGGAACTGTTAGAGTACGTTGAAAATCTCTCTTAATAAATCTAAGCGGCGATCATGGGTAAACCCAGACCTCACAAAAAGAAAGCATCCAAATCCAAGTCCAAGTCCGTTCTCAGCGCTGGCGGCTCAGTCTCGAAACAGAAAATGAACGAAGATCCTTCAAAGCTCCTTGAACAGGCTACAACACTCCTCCAGACAGGACAGCCAGATGTTGCGCTTCCGGTTGCCCAACGGGCACTCGACCTTACGCCGGCCAATTCCCCCGCTCAACTTTCGGCCTTGAACATAGTCGCGGAGATCTACGTTGAGCTGGGAGAGATTGATGTTGCGAGACAGCATTTTATGCGCGCGGTTGAGCTGGACCCGACTGGCGCAATTCCTGAAAGCCAGGGAGGTGGCGCTGAAAAGTTCTTATGGCTTGCTCAATTGAGCGAGCTCGGAGGCAAGGACAGTGTTCAATGGTTTGAGAAGGGTGTATCTTGTCTCAGGCAAGTTATTCAACAGCTTGAACAGAACCCAGGTCCTGCGGAAGCGATTGAGTTGGAGGAGAAGAAACGGAAGATGGCAAATGCTCTATGTGCTGTTGCTGAGATCTACATGACCGATCTTTCGTGAGTTTTTCTTCTATGTTCTCGGTCTGCCTGAGGAGTTTCTTTAATCTAACAGTGACTAGGTGGGAAGAGGATGCTGAAGCCCGCTGCGAAACTCTCATTACAGAGGCTCTTTTGGTCAACTCACATGCACCGGAAGTGCTACAAACCCTCGCCTCTATCCGAATCTCACAGCTGCGAACTGACGAGGCACGGGCGGCACTCACAAAAAGTGTCGAGCTATGGAAGGACCTACCACCCGAGGACCCGACAGTCCCAGACTTCGCTACAAGGATCAGTTTGGCTCGTCTGTTAATGGAGGTCACCATGGAGCTTGAGGCGCTTGAAGTCCTAGAACGTTTGATCTTAGAAGATGATCAGAGTGTAGAGGCATGGTATCTCGGTGGATGGTGTCTCTATCTTCTTGCAGAGAAGAAGGAAGCACCAAAGGACGAAGAGCTGGATAGTGAAACCCCCGATGCAAAACGCCATGCTTCGTTGGTCGCTAGCCGTGAATGGCTGAAGCAGAGCTTAACACTTTACGAATCGATTCAATACGAGGATGTGAGGCTCAAGGAGCATGCGGATGAATTGGTAGAGGCGATGAACAAAGAATTGGGCGAGGATATGGAGGATGACGTGGAAGGTGAGGAGGGAGATGAGGGCTGGGAGGACGAAATTGAGTCGGACGGCGATCAGGAGATGGCCGATTCATGAAAAAAAAAAGAAATTGCATGATCTTATGAGAATCCTGTCATGATACCAACCTATAGAAAAAAAGTCACTGCTGTTTACGATATACTAAGAACGGGGCCCTAGTACTCCGTACAGGGGCGTGTGGTTGATTGACTGGCGGACCGTCATTGTTTTCGTCCGCCGTAAGCCCACATCGCTCGTAATGCCATGCGATACCTATTGGCCCATAGATCGACCCTTCTTTGTCACTTGATAGTACTAACGACTTATCGCCCCAAAGCCGGTGTCGGATAAATCCGCTCCGACCGCTTTCCCCGGAGATTCGCAGAGCCAAATTTATCCCGGCAGATCGTACATGCGCGTGGCGAAAAATTCAATGTGAGTTGAGGCGTTGTCATAGAGGTTGCTGGAAGTGTCCTATCTCCCATACAGGATGGACCTTGTACCAGCGCCCGGCGGGGAGAGCTCTTCGTTGAAGAATCCGGTGGTCGAAGTGGAAGCCGTCGATATGACTTCCGCGGAAGTAGAAGGGACCGTTGCGACAGAGAATCCTGTCTCTGCGCAAGGCAATATATCTCCGTCGGAAGAGGACTCAGATAGCGGTGAATCTGGAGACGAATGGGAGACACAGTCCCTCTATGAAGATGCTATCCAAGTCCTTCGTGACGAGCAACTTCGGGAAGGGGGTAAGTGTCTCATACTTAGCGCAATGCGCCTGGGCCTTTCCACGGCTCGAAGTGTATGTGTTCGTTCGCTGACCTTTCCTACTTCTAGTAGTACCTGATGCTTGTACATTGGACGAGGCCATTGCATTCCGAAAGCGCCTACATGAAGTTGGCAAAGCCGCGTTCGTTGAGGAAACTATTGCTCAGGACAAAGTGACTGCGAAGAAACTATGCACTGCATTTGGTATCATGCCCCCGGCTTTCCTTGAGGGCGCGCCGGACGAGGCCTATCATCCTTTACTTGCGATTGCGATCTCGCAAGAGTTCTCTCGCCGTCAGAAGCTTCCACAGTATAACACGATTGACGATGCGGTCAAGTTACTTCAGGAGTCTAAGAATATTATTGTTTTGACGGGGGCCGGTGTGAGTATCTGTTTTGGGTTATCTGTGACGTGCGTGTGCACTAACGGTGTCGTCAGATCTCCACGAGTCTCGGTATCCCCGATTTTCGGTCCAAGGACACCGGACTCTACTCGCAATTGGCGCATTTGGGTTTAAGCGATCCGCAGGAAGTTTTCGACATCCATATCTTCCGCGAGGACCCGAGCATCTTCTACTCGATTGCAAAGGATATTTTGCCTACCGAGAAGAAATATTCACCAACTCATGGGTTCATTCGACTCCTGCAGGATAAGGGAAAGCTTTTGACCAACTACACCCAGAACATTGATAATATCGAGGCGAATGCAGGCGTTCTTCCCGAGAAGATCGTGCAATGTCATGGTTCATTTGCAACGGCCACGTGTGTTAAATGCGAGTACAAGGTGTCAGGCGATGCGCTCTTCGAGGACATCAAGAAGGGGAACGTTCCTGAATGCACTTCCTGCCAGAAGGCGATTGAGGAAGACTCTTTGAGGCCACAGGGGCAAAAGCGCAAACGTAGTACTAATGGCACACACAAGAGCCGGAAATCCGATGGGGATGAGAGCTCTGAAGAGGAAGACTACGAACTTCCCACGCCCGGGGTGATGAAGGTCCGTACCGTATAAAGTGTTTCTTTTCCACCTACAGTTCATCCGCTAACCTACGTTGATCTTAGCCTGATATCACCTTCTTTGGCGAAGATCTTCCTGATGAGTTCGGACAGCGCCTGATTCACCACGACCGTGACAAGGTAGATCTGGTCATCGTCATTGGTACCTCATTGAAAGTTGCTCCTGTCGCAGAAGTGCCGGGCGTGTTGCCCCGTCATGTGCCTCAGATCTATATCTCCCGGACTGTAGGTTATTCCTTGGCTGTCAACAATTTGCGTCCTTCAATACACGTGCTGACCATCCGTCTTAGCCTGTGTCGCATACCGGCTTTGATATTGATCTCCTAGGTGATTGTGATGTGGTAGTATCTGAGCTCTGTCGACGGGCTGGGTGGGACTTCAAACATGAGATGATTCCCCCCGACGAAAAGGTCGAAATCACTCCTGCTGAAGGATATGAGTCACGACATGTGTTTAAGGTTGTCGGCGCATAGCGACGGTGTTCGGTCATAGGATCTCTGGTTCCTGTCTATTGAGGGATGGCGCACTGTACGGTTCTTCTTATGATGATGATGAAGAAGTTGTTGCTGTGGGTTCTTGTTTTGGAGGGTTTCATACGTCAGGATGGACTTTTCTTTTGTTCCTTTAGACATGTTGTTGCGCTTTTTTTTTTTTTTTTT